CAAGAATAAACTCAACATGGATTAAAGACAAATGTAAGACTTGAAACCATAAAAATCCTAGAAGAAAACATAGGCTGTAAAATCTCTGACATTTCTCATAACAAAATTTTTTCTGATATATCAACTCAGGCAATGGAAACAAAAGAAAAAGTAAACAAATGGGACTACTTCAAACTGAAATTTTTTGCACAGCAAAGGAAACCATCAACAAAAAAAGACAACCTACTGAATGGGAGAACATATTCACCAATGATATATCTGATAAGGGGTTAATATCCAAAATTTATGAAGAACTCATTCAACTCAACACAACAAAAAACAAGCAATCCAATTTAAAAATGGACAAAGGACCTGGATAAACGCTTCTCCAAAGGGAACACACAAATGGCCAATGGACATATGAAAAGATGTTTAGTGTTACTAATCATCAGAGAAATGAAAATTAAAACCACAATGAAGAATGCATGGTTTTTTTAGCCACTCATTTCTGTATATCTGAAACTGGTTCAGAATGGTATTCAATGTAAACTATAGTTGAAAAAATTTATACACAAATAATTAAACAAACTACAGTGGCATAACACCTAGCCTGTCAGAAAGGGTGTCATCAATACATCAACAAACAAGTTGTTGGTGAGGATGTGGAGAAAGGGGACCCCTCGTTCACTGTTGCTGGGAATACAAATTGGTACAGAACTATGGAAGACAGTATGGAGGGTCCTCAAAAATGTTAAAAATGAATGTCTTATGACCCAGCGATTCTACTTCTGGGTATATATTCAAAACTTAAAACACCTGTTTGAAAGACTTTATGCACTCCTATGTTCATTGTAGTGTTACCTATGATAGCCAAGATATGGAAGCAACCCAACTGCCCAACAAGAGACAAATGAATAAAAAAGAGGTGGTATCTATCTATATACCAAGTGATCAGAACGACCCAAATGACTGGAATGACCAGTTGCTATGACGCGCACTGCAGCCAGCCAACCGGCCCAATCGGGGGTCGGCCCTTCCCCACCCCCGGGCAAGTCCTGGCCGGATCAGGGTGGGGCTGGTGGGCCAACATCCCTTGGCCCCTCCCCCTCACCAGTCTGGCCCCCAATCGCCCCCCCCACCCAGATCGGGGGCAGGGCCAGCCAACCACTGGTGGCCCCTCCCCCACACAGGCCCACCCCCGATCGGCCCCCACCACCCTGATTGGGGAAGGAGCCAGCTGGCCAACCTCTCACATCCCCTCTCCCCTGACGGCCTGGTCTGATTGGCCCCCATTGGTGCAGGCCAGCCAGACCCAACCTGTGCACGAATTCGTGCACCAGGCCACTAGTGTGTGTGTGTGTGTATGTGTGTGTGTGTGTGTGTGTGTGTATCCTATCTAATAAAAAAGAAACATGGTAATTAGCCGTATGTCCGCTACCCTTCCCATTGGCTAATCAGGGCAATATGCAAATTAACTGCCAGCCAAGATGGCGGCTGGCAGCCAGGCAGCGTGAAGTGAACATGAGGCTTGCGTTCCCCGCCTGCCGCTGGCGGCCTCTGAGCTTGCAGTTTGAAACATTGTTACAAATATAGAAGATATAGAAGCTAAACAAAACCCCAGAAACCTGCTTTCAGCCAGCCGGGATCTCAGAGCTGCAGTTGAAACAGTGTTTCGATTATAGAACCCAAAGAAACCAGATACCTGCTTTCAGCAGCCGAGGCCTAAGAGCTGGAGCCAAGCCTCAGAGCTAAAGCTGGCCCAGAATAAAAAAAAAGAAGAAGAAGAAAAAAAGGAGCAATTGGGAGATTCAGTCACCCACCAGCCTGAAAACAGCCCTCAGCCCCTCACCCAGACTGGCCAGGCACCCCCCCCTCCACCCTGAAGGGGGTGTGACCAGCTGCAACCAGCCATCATCCCCTCATCCAGGCTGGCCAGGTACCCCAGAAGGGACCCCCACCCTGATCCAGGAAACCCTTCAGGGCAAACCCTCCGGCCCCCACCGTGCACCAGGCCTCTATTCTATATAGTAAAAGGGTAATATGCCTCCCAGCACCGGGATCAGTGGAGCCAAGAGGCCTCCCGGCACCGGGATCAGCGTGACAGGGGGCAGCGCCCAAACCCCCTGATGAGCCCTGCTCTGTGCCTGATAGGAGGGAGCTCCCCAACCCCCTGATTGCCCTGCGGCTCTGTGTGTGACAGGCTGCTGTGCCCCAACCCCCTGATTGGCCCTGCTCTGTGTGTGACAGGGTGCAGCGCCCCAACCCCCCACCACGGGCCCTGCTCTGTGTGTGATGGCGTAGAGCCATAACCTCCCCATCGGCCCTTCCCTGAGTGTGACAGTGGTGGCGCCCCAACCCCCTGATCTGCCCTGCTCTGTGGGTGATAGAGGGTGATGCCCCAACCGCCCCCCATGGGCCCTGCTCTGTGTGTAACGGGGTAGAGCCATAACCTCCCCATTGGCCCTGCCCTGAGTGTGACAGGGTGGGGCGCCCCAACCCCCTCATTCGCCCTGCTCTGTGTATGACAGGGGGCGGTGCCCCAACTCCCCTATCGGCCCTACTCTGTGAGTGACAGGGGGGAGCTCCTCAACCCCCTGATAGGCCCTGCTCTGTGCGTGACAGGGGGTGGCGCCGCAACCTCCCCATCGACCCTGCTTTGAGTGTGACAGGGGGCGGTGCCCCAACCCCCCAATCGGCCCTACCCTGAGCATGACTGAGGGTGGCATCACAACCTCCCAATCTGCCCTGCTCTGTGCTCTCGGCGCCCCAATTCCCCAATCAGCCCTGCTCTGAGCCGACCAGGGGCTGCACCTAGGGATTGAGCCTGCCCTCTGCCACCCGGGAGCAGGCCTAAGCCAGCAGGTCATTATCTCCCAAGGGGTCCCAGACTGGGAGAGGGAACAGGCAGGGCTGAGGGACCCCCCTCCTCCCCGAGTGCACAAAAATATATATATATATACTAGAGGCCCGGTGCACAAAAATCAGCCCTGCCTGTGCCCTCTTGCAGTCTGGGACCCATCAGGGGATGACCACCTGCTGGCTTAGGCCTACTCCCCGGGGGATTGGGCCTAAGATAGCAATCAGACATCCCTCTGGCAGCCCGGCAGCCCTCGGGGGATGTCCACTTGCCAGCGGGGAGCAGGCCTAAGATGCAGTCAGACATCCTTAGCGCTGCTGAGGACACAGGAGAGGCTCCCACCACCACCGCTCTACTGGCAGCCATCAGCCTGGCTTGTGGCTGAGCAGAGCTCCTCCCAGGTGAGAGTGCCCTGACCACCAGAGGGCAGCTCCTGCATTGAGCGTCTGCCCCCTGGTGGTCAGTGTGTGTCATAGTGACCAGTCATTCCCAGTCTTTCTGCTGTTAGGGTCAGTTTGCATATTACCCTTTAACCATATAGGATAGAGGCCTGGTGCATGGGAGGGGCTGGCTGGTTTGCCCTGAAGGGTGTCTCAGATCAGGGTGGGGGTCCCACTTGGGTGCCTGGCCAGCCTGGATGAGGGGATGATGGCTGTTTGCAGCTGGTCACACCCCCTTCAGGGTGGGGGTCCCCACTGGGGTGCCTGGCCAGTCTGGGTGAGGGGCTGAGGGCTGTTTTCAGGCTGGTGGGTGACTGAAGCTCCCAACCTCTCCTTTTTTTCTGTTTTTTTATTCTGGGATTTATTTACCCTCTATGGCTGTCACTGGAGCTGAGAGCCGGCTTTAGCTCTGAGGCTTGGCTCCAGCTTAAGGCCTAGGCTGCTGAAAGCAGGTATCTGGTTTCTTTGGCTTCTATAATTGCAACATTGTTTCTTAGAATGCAAGCTCAGAGCCCAGCAGCTGCAGGCAGGGAACCTTGGCTTCCTCCTTCACTGGAGCAAGCAAACCTCCTGTTCGCTTCAGCTGTCTGGCTGCCGGCCGCCATCTTGGTTGGCAGTTAATTTGCATATCACCCTAATTAGACAATGGGAAGCGTGTCGGAGGTACGGTTAATTGCCATGATTGTCTATTATTAGATAGGATATGAATGTTACTTGGCCATAAGCAATAATTCAATCTTACCATTTGTGACAGCATGGATGGACCTGGAGAATATTATGGTAAATGAAATAAGTCAGTCAGAGAAAGACAAATCCCATATGATTTCACTTAGATGTGGAATCTAAAGAACAAAATAAGTAAACAGGCAAAACAGTAATAAACTTATAGATACAGGGAATAGAATGCTGGTTGCTAGAAGGAAGAGGATTTGCAAGACTAGAAGAAAAAGGTTAAAGGATTAAGTACAAATTGGTAGTTACAAAATAGTCACAGGGATGTAAATTACAGCATAGGGGAAATAGCCAATAACATTGTAATAACTATGTATGTATGTTGCTAGGTGGGTACTGGAAATATCAGGGGACCACTTCGTACAGTATATGATTGTCTAACCACTATATTGTATACCTGAAACTAATCTATACTAATAAAGGGGTAATATGCTAATCAGACTGGACATCCTTCTGGACAAAGCCTCGCTGGTGGGGGCCAAGGCAGAGGTGGTTTAGGGCAATCAGGCCACCAAGGGAGGGCAGTTAGGGGCAATCAGGCTGGCAGGAAGAGAGGTTAGGGATGATCAGGCAAGCAGGCAGGGGAGCGGTTAGGAGCCAGCGGTCTGGGATTGCAAAAGGGATATCCGACTGCCAGCTTAGGCCCGATTCCACAGAAATCGGGCCTAAACTGGCAGTCTGACATCCCCTGAGGGGTTCCAAATTGGAGCAGGTACAGGCTGGGCTGAGGGACCCACCCCTGTGCACGAATTTTGTGCACAGGGCCTCTAGTACAATGTAATGTAAATTAATGTAAACTAATTGAAAAATAAATTAAAAACAACAAGAAGTCTGCTCAGGCAGCCTGCTAGAACTTTCTATGCCTTGAACCCTGCCCCACCAATTTTCCACTCCTCCAATCCTCTTTCCATCCTTGACTTTTCACTGCTCCCAAAGTTCATCCCCCCAAATTAAAGTGAGGTTCCTATGAAGCCCAACCTTGTACATCCTACCTGGAATGCCGCGTGTCTGGGATGGACCGGTTCAGGGGCAGCAGGTTACTGAGGTAAACATTGTAACCAAACTTCTGGAAGAGGTCCTGGGCCCTTTTCTGCTGGGCCTCAGAAAGATCCTCACCCCATTGCTTGAAAAGTGGTGAGTCTGGAAAGAGTTTCTCTCTGGGTCTGTGTTTCTTTGTCTCGCTTGCCTTGGCTTCCACTGCCTTTTGAACAGGTTGTTCATCTCTCATCCTCTTCAGTGTTTTGTCCACATTTTCTTGTTGCTTCATAGCCAATTTCATATTTTCTTCTGCAAATGAAGGGCAAGGGAGAAAACATTTCAGCGAATCCTTAGCTACCTGGACACTGCTTTGCATTCAAATTTCACTACAATGTCTTCCTCTCCAAATTCTGAAATTGACCAGCTCTTATCTCAGAGGATGCGATATGTCAAGGAACTTGTCAGAGCCGTGCCAACCTGTCCTGGCGAGGCGTGCACTGGAACACACCTCTCCTTTCAGCTCCATCAGAACTTGTCTATCCTGAGTCCCAAGCCTTCACAGTTCCTCCAGTAACTGTCATCTGAGAAATATATTGACCATAGCGAACCTTTTTCAGAATAAGGCCTGAGAACCACTTGCATCAGAATCATCTGTTGGATTATTTTAAAATGCAGATCTACAGGCTTATCCCCAAATCAACTAAATCAGAATCTCAGGGTCAGACAGGGGTAGGGAAAGATGCCAGAATCAGCACTTTTTTTTTTAATCCTCATCTGAGGACATTTTTTCATTGATTTTAGAAAGAGTGGAAGAGAGAAGGAAAGACAGAGAGAAATATCAATGTGAAACATGTCAATTTGTTGCTTTCTGCACGAGCCCTCAGAGCACTGAGGGCCCAGTAGAGGGCTGCTGACCTAGGCCCTCTGACCCAGGGCCCAGGTCAGAGAGGAGCTGCAGGCTCCAAGGTACGTGCCCTCAACCGGAATAGAACCTGGGACCCTTCAGTCTGCAGGCTGACGCTCTATCCACTGAGCCAAACTGGTTAGGGCCAGAATCAGCACTTTTAACAAAATCAATGAGTAATTATTTTATACAATAAAATGTGAGAAGCACTGCACTACACTATCAGTGGCTACTCCTTCCTACCTGTGTGACCTTGGCCAGGGGCTTTCTCTTCTTGGTGCCATAGGTTTACCAAGTACCTCAGAGCATTGCGGTGGTAACTATGGGGCTTAATACCTGTGAAGTGCTTATGACAGAGCCCGGCACACAATAAAGCGTGGCTATTTTCTTTTCTCTGGTTTTTCTGTTTCTTCTACTTGGGGGTGGGGGAGAGGTGGGGAAGGATATTGAGAAGAGTGGAAAACTTTTTAAATTGTTATGCTAAGAAATGGGAGTGAGAATTTATTCGTGAAACAGAGCACTGAGGGCCTAGTAGAGGGCTGGCTGAGGCAGGGCCATGAGTGTGAAGTGGCTCAGTTATGGGAATTCTTCCAGCAGTGCTCAGCACTTGGGTGAAGGCACAGCAAAGACGGGCAATTGATTTCACACAATGTTGGGGGGTCCTTAGAAGAGTGCAATAGAACAAGTGTGCAACGGAGTTGTGGATTGTGGCAAAGCCGGAGAAAGGGTACTGTTACAGAGAACAACTGAGGGGATATGCTGCAGTCATGAAGTTGTGATCAGCAACGGACAGCTTGAATTTGTCATTTCACAGGTGAGCAGTTCTGGATGATGACAAAGTCCAACATATACCATAGAAATATGAGGTGGGATGGAGGTAATGGACTGCATAGATGGGAAGGCAGAGCTGTTGAATGGGTCATCCACAGGACATTGCAGGGGCCCAGGGTGATAGCAGGATTTGGGGCAGAGCCAAAGACTGAACCAGGATCCATTGCAAAGTCTGTAATGAGTGAGGAAACCTGACAGGGAGGTCAACAGAAGAAATGCTAGAGGGCAGCCAGGTTTACATAATAAGGTAAAGAGCTATCACCATAGCTGTCTGACTCTCCTTTCTGAGATCGGACCAAACCTAGAGCCCATTAATTGTTCCCAAGTCCAACACTGACAATGACACTCCTCAGCATCAAATCCCAAAGTGGTCACCGAGATACTCCACCATGGGGACCCTCTTAGCTCCCACTAATCTTCCCTCAAACCTGTACTACATTCCTACCAGACTGATAGGGTCACCTCTAGCCCATGTAGTATATCTTCTTGCAAGTTGAAAGAATCACCCCCCCCCCCCTTTTTATTTTTTTTTTGATAGTTGCAGCTCAGGGATTACCAGCTCAGCCAGGGCACATCTCACCGTGTAAACTGCCTCTGGGCAGATGCAGCCCCAGGCACAGCGCATGGCTTTGTGAGCAGAACAGGGGCTGGATTTCAGCTGCATATACAGCCCCTTAAAGCAGTGGTTCTCAACCTTTAATACAGTTAAATACCCTTTAATACAGTTCCTCATGTTGTGGTGACCCCCAATTTCATTGTTACAAATTGAACATAATTAAAGCATAGTGATTAATCACAAAAACAATATGTAATTATATATGTGTTTTCTGATGGTCTTAGGCAACCCCTGTGAAAGGGTCGTTCGACCCCCAAAGGGGTCGCGACCCACAGGTTGAGAACTGCTGCCTTAAAGGAAAGCAGGAAAGTCCGCAAGTGGGAGGAGGACATGTTTGAAAGGTAGCAAAACCCTGCCCAAGAAAAAAAGAGAATCAATTACAGACGTGCTTAAGGCAAAATAAATAAATACATAAATAAATAAATAAATAAATAAATAAATAAATAAATAAATAAGAGGGTCAAAGAAAACTCAGAAAGAACAAATAAATATAAATGGAGTGTCTTTCAAAGAAGGCTCATGTGAATACCCTGCATATTTGCATATTTGCTCAGGTAGACAAAGTGAGAGCAGAAATTTTACAATATTCCAAATTGAATAGTATTTTTATTCAAACTTTTCCCTACTAAGCATGTGGGGGTCACAGGGTTGCCTTGAGTTCTCTGTTCCTTTAAACTCCCCTGTGTTCCTCTTTGGGGGGAGGGGGCATCTGATTTTCCTCTGTTACTCATTGCTGCCAACTGGAAAATTGTTTGGACCGGGACACCCTAGAGTCAGTTTGAGGGCATAAGTGCAGAGTCCACAGGAAGAATACAGTGCCAATAGACCATTCTCAGTTTATACAGAAACTTTCTAGGATCCAAAGGGGCCACACCCAATGTCACCATTCTGCAGAAGCCTTTAAGACGCCCTGGGGAGTTTTCCAAAAAATTCCTTCAAAGTCATCAAACCCTCCACAATAGGGATATCATTATCATCGTGTATTTGCTTTTGTACTATATGATGTTTACATCCATGTTTAAACATCCTTATTGAGTTATGAAATCCTCCAGTCTTCCTGGAGGCAAAGAGCAACCAGGATGCTGCATAACTGAACAGACTTCTTTTCAGGAAGCCCTTCAGGAAAGAGCCTTTGTGATCTGGAAAGAAGGTCCAGAAGACATTGTGAAATTTATCTCAGCTGGTAGGGAGTGCCTGACACTGCATCATCTTAAAGTGGATAGAATGTGGGGTGAAAGGGCGAGGGCTACGCCCTCCATCTTGCCCCAGATCCTTCATTTTTGGGCAGCAGCCATTAGCCATGTGCTCAGCAAGGAGCTTCTTCCCGGAAGCCCAAGTCTCTGCTAGCCTCTGCCCAATCCACACCTAGGATTTCTTTAAACTAACCAATGATAATCAAGGGAAGTGCACGCCATAGACACAACCACATCCTGTGTGACAAGACCCCGACTTGCACCTGACCAATCGGCAGGGCCCACAGTCCTCTCTCCTCCCCTTACTCCAACCCCCCTATAAAACCCCTCGCCCCACAGAGCTCTCTCTCTCTCTCTGCCTCCTGCCACCATGTTGGCAAGTGTGGTGGACGGGGAGCTCAAGCTAGCTTGAATAAAGACTCTATGTTTTTGCATCAGACTCGGTGCTCCCTGGTGGATCTTTGGGGGATCTTGAAATCTGGGCATAACATGGGGAGCATCCAAAATAATAAGAAAAGGAGGAACTGGTCATTGCAGAAGGAAAGGGAAGCACACCAGTGGCTCCAGATGACTTGTGGAGGTATAATGTGTTCCAGCTGCAGGCAGAACTGATATGGGCAGAAGTAGAATGTTGGGGAACCAGCTAGAATTGTAAGAAATATTAACCATGCTCTGTTAACCGTGATTGGTTTGTTCTGATTAAAGAAGGCACATTCTAACCTGGCTGGTAGCCTCACTCTGGACCTCAGAGCTCACCTGCAAATGCAGCCCATCCCCCGCATTTGGAGCTGCCTATTATCATGGAAAGATTAACAACTTTCTGGTAGAAACCAGAATCACCAGCTCTTTGAAGAGCCCCCACTCTTGCATATCATTAAACCCTTTGAAGATCCCCAGCCCTTTTGCATGCCTGCAGGCCTTTGCAAATCTCCAGCCTGCTTACCTGTTAACTGCCCATTTGGCATACCCTTTGGCTATTTCCTCATGTAATATTTGTCCTTCTAATCAATTTAAGTAGCTGGCTTATGGTGGGGTGCAGAGCAGATTTTTGTGGATGACCTGCTGCTCTCCCATGCTGCCGGCAATAATGAATAAACGCTCATATAGAACTCAACCCTGTCTCTGCTTAATTGGCTCAATTAGTGACAGGCAGCACGGGCCCATTGATTGTCCGGTTACAGAACTCCTGCCACTTTAAGGCCTGAGGTGGCTGAGCCCTGGGGTTGGGTGAGCGAGTGGTGGCATGGTCTGGGTATTCTATCAAGGAATGACAATGATTGTCCAGGTACATAGGCATCCTTTTGGTGATGCTACACTGAGCATATTTGCAAGTCAATGTCCACCCCAGTCGGATGTGCTTGTGGACGGAAGGGGCCACATGCTGACCTGACAAGCTCAGGGGAGGCCTGCATGGCAGTTTTGCAAACTCGGAGACCTAAAGTAACCACAAAGGATGGTCTGAAATTAAACTTTAACTAAAAGCAGTTATGGTGGGCAGTTACGTCCTAAGCCGATATCTTCACTGATAAGGTCAACCTTTACGTAACTGAGCCTATCTGTCTATTTGCATCTACGATAACATGTCCTTGGGATGTCTGGGTAACTTGTGACTTCCCTTTTTATGGAGCCCCTGGGGCACAGCCAGGTGTGCTGGGCCCAGGACAGATACCACAGATTCCTTGTTAATTGTTCCTGTACCCACCTAAGTATGTGTCCATCATTTTACTTTTTATCCAATCCCAGGGGTTTCCCCGCTTTGCTTTATCCCTCCTCTTTAGTCTATCACCAATGAATTTCATAACCCACCTATGTTCCTCCTTTGATTGGAATGTATAAATACAAATGTAACCCCGCCATTCTCCGGAGCATTATCTCAATTCGTTGAGGTTCTGCTTCCTGGCATATGTCGACAGTTTGGCTCAAATAAACTCACAAAATTCTTTACAGGTTTCAATGGTTTTTTACGTTAACATGCTCAAAGCCAGGGCTTCCAAGAGTGACAATCTTATCTGTTTCATTACTCTCTTACTGTGTATCACTCTTCCCTCCATCCTTGTCTGCCTGTCCTCTGTCCTCTTTTTCCCACATTCATTCATTCATTTACTCATCCAATTAATTTCTATGTGCCAGACACAGGGGATTAAGTGGTAAGACACTCCATGAGACATCCCTGAAACCAGCCCCTATGAAACATGCCTTCCAGAAAATTATACCACAATAAAATATGAAGAGTCTTATGAGGGAAGATGTAGAAGGTGCTATGGTGCTTTATGATTCCTTTTTTCTATGCCCATCCACATCACTTCCTTTTTTTCTGTCTTGTCTCCACATACATTCTTCCATTCCCTTGCTCTGGACTCTTTCTCTTTGCTCCTTTTTTGTCCTCATCTCTTTAGTCCTCTATTGTCCTGTTTTTCTCTCTCTCTTTTCCTGATTTAGTCCCTTACTTTTTATCCTCCTATCTGTCATTCCATCGTATCCCTCTGCCTCGCCCTGAACCTGGGCAATGTTCAGTTTTCATCTTAAAAGACACTTTCTCCACCGCCAGCCCCCACGTGCACACAACCACGCATCTCTGCAGCCACTTCCCTGCTCATACATTCAACCTCCCTTCAGGGGCGCAGGCGTTTGACCCCTGCAATGACAGGGATCAGGGTAAACATTCCTGCTTCCCTCACTGGTGTCAGACGCTGAGACACATAACATTCATAGGGGTTAGAGTCAGAATCAAAAGCAAGCCCCAGAATTCATGTGAAGAGTTAAAATGTGGTAGACCTTATGAAGTATGGTAGCAATCATCTCAGGTAGAAACTGTAGTTTAACTTTAACCCTGCTGTTTGGCTTCTGTACTTAGTTGCTTTGTTTAACAATAGAAAAGTTATTTTGATTTCCTGAACTGTATAAATCATCCCACTCGATTGAATACCTTATTATTCAATAAGTGTAATGTGAATATCCCACTGATTGTGATCTTACTGGTTATCGAAGCACATTCTTCTGTACCTGGGAAACAGGACAGCACAATTATCCTAAATTGTTTTAGTGGTCACAGATAATGCGTTCCAGTTGGCTCAGTGGTCCCAAGACCAGGACAGCGCAATTACTCTAAATTACCTCGATGGCTCTAGATCAGGGATGGGCAAACTTTTTGACTCGAGGGCCACAATGGGTTCTTAAACTGGACCAGAGGGCCGGAACAAAAGCATGGATGGAGTGTTTGTGTGAGCTAATATAAATTCAAAGTAAACATCATTACATAAAAGGGTACGGTCTTTTTTTTTTTAGTTTTATTCGTTTCAAACGGGCCGGATCCGGCCCGCGGGCAGTAGTTTGCCCACGGCTGCTCTAGATAATGAGTTCCTGGCAACTCAGTGGTCTCAGACCTGAGAGCTCTAGATAATGTGCTCCTGTCAACTCAGTGATCCGGAGACCCAAAACTTTAATTAACATGCTTAATTCTGCTTCGGTAAACTGCTTTTTTGCGAACCAGGTTCCTCATTCCAAACCCTGGGATGTAATCAATACCTTTGTGATTTTTGCCTATATAAACCTGGTTTTGCGGCCATCTTATCACTATGAGATTTGGGAGAGCAAGATGCCCCCTCATAGTCCCGAATTGCAATAAATGTGACTCTTTAATTCGACTTCTTGAGGCATCCTTCTGTGATTCGCAGGGTACATTATAACACTTAAGGGCATTATGCTAAGTGAAATAAGTAAGAAAGAAAAAGACAAATACCATTTAATTGCACATATATGTCAATCTAAAAGTGGGGGAAACAAGCTCATAGTTACAGAGAACAGACTGATGGTTGCCAGAGGTTGGGGGGAGAGGGGAAGGCGGTATGTGTGAAAGGGGTCAAAAGGTACAAACTTTCATTTATAAAATAAGTAAGTCCTGAGATGTCTTTTAATGTACAGCATGGTGACTACAGTTAATAGCACTGCATTGTGTACTTGAAGTTGCTAAGAGAGTAGACCTTAGAGGATCTCATCACAGGAAAAAAATATTTGTTCTTATGTGTGGTGGCGGGTATGACCATTTCAGTTAGTACAAGAATTGAATCATTACACTGTACACCTAGAACTAACATAATGTTAAAGGACAATTATGCCTCAATAAAAGGAAGAGGTTAATAGGCGACACTGCATGGATTTCACAGCCCTGGGAGGCTGGCAGATACGGTCTCATCATCTCCACTCACAGACCAGGAGCCTCACTGGGAGATACAAGCACTGGCTTTAGACCACTCAATCAGCGTGTGACATCAGGTTCCACCTCAGGCCCTCCAACAAACCCATCAGTCCCGACAGCAGCTCAAGGCAAAATGGAAATGAGGCCTTAGCCTCAGAGATAGTTACCTCTGTTTGTCCGCCCTGCCACACAAAGTCCCAAGGTCAGGGCTGTGCGGAAAGAGTCCTGAGCCTCTCTGGGAGTGTTTGTCTGAGCCTCTTCCTGCCTGCATGTATGTGCTTGTGATCATGAGTGTGTGCCAGCATACACACACACACCACTCACATCATGTGGATGAAAAGGGCCCACATGCTAACCTGACTAGCTCAGAGAAGGCCTGCATGGCGGCCTTGCAAACTAAGACACCTAAAGTAACCACAAAGCACAGTCTGAAATTAAAACCTTTAATTAAAAAGCAGTTTATAGGGGGTATTCCTGTCCTAGGCCAGTATCTTCCCTGACAAAGATCAACTTCAATCTTTCTGAGCCTATTATCTTTTTGCATCTAAGATACCATACCTGTGGAATGTCAGGGTAACTTGTAACTTCCCTTTCTTTGGACCCTTCAGGGAAGAAACCAGGGAAGAAACCACAAATTGTGATTATTATCCTGTTGTCCACTGCTAACTATACTGTACCCACCTATGTAAAAGACGCAAATATCTATCGTTTCGCTTTGTATCCAAACCCAGAGGTTTCGCTGCTTTGCTTTCTCCCACTTCCCTACTCTATCACCAGTGGATTTCATGTAACCCACTTACGTCTCCTCCTTTGATAGAAGTTTATAAAACTGAAAAGCCACCATTTTTCAGAGCATTATCTCAGTACACTGAGATTCTGCTTCCTGGCAATTGTTGACAGTTTGGCTCAAATAAACTCACAAAAATCCTTTAAACGTTTGAATGTTTTCTTTTGTTGACAGCTCTGATTCCCACTAATTCTCAACACTTAGTGCCCATTTGAAGGCATAGAATTCAATGTCAGATGCTAAATTGAGCACCTAAGAGATGAAAACGTGAACTCCTACTCATTTTAAAATTTCTCCCCACTCCTTTCTTCTAAGAATCCCCAAGTGTGCATGAGCATGTGTGCACGCGCATGCACGCACGCACGCACACACACAGAATCCCCTCCAAGTGACTGTTAAAACTTACGCAGATGCTGCAACTCCAACTCCAGGTGAGAAAGTTTCTTTATCACCGTCTCGTTCCATTCAGACAGAGGGAAGTGAAGCTCCTTTTGGACACCACCCAGAATCAACTTTTGTAAAGTCATCTTGGTATAAACTACCAGGAGGAGATTGTAGACAATAAGGAGAGTCAGCCCAATGCAGAGAACTTTGCAGAGATGTCTCCTGAGCATCATACTCCTACTCCGGCTCGGCCGCTCCCTGCGGGGCTGAGTGTCGCTGCTCGGGAAGCTAAGGATCAGAATCAGCCGCGCCTGGTCTCCTGGGTGCAGAGATGACACCCTGCCTGCCGAACCAGATGTTCTCCGACTGGAAAGCTGGCACAGGCTGCCTGGCTTCTCCCTGAGCAGTGTCAGGTGTGGAGTATGTCAGGGCAGCCACCCAGTGACTGGCAGGCTCCCTGGGTACACCTTGCACTGTCTCAGAAGTCAAAGTCAACAAACTTGAGGAGAGCTTTCTAAGGTGGAGGTGAGCCCCAGGCGATGGCCCTGCTTCACTGATCCCTGCCCTCTGCTAGCTATCTGCACACAGCTCTGCACACTGAGGTCTTATAGTGGGGAAGGGCCTGTAATAAGAATAGAGCCACAATCGTTTAAGGGGTATTCACCTTACTAACTATAGGTAAGAAGTTTTCTTACAGACCCTGGGAAACTGGAGGATGTGCTACAAGGAGAAAAATAGAGCTGTAAAAAGATAAGAGACACCTTGGGGCCCGAATGGGTCCATTGCTCAGAAAGGAAAATGCATTTTGAGAACAGACAAAAAACAGGACAGTTTTGATTTGGTTGCTGTGCCTGGACCCTGTTGCCCTCTGGGAGTTTGCCTCAGGAACGCTGACCATTCTCTTTAAGATCCTGGAAGGAGACTCAGGGACCACAGACCCTGCAGCCATTCCTACCCTTCCCCCTTGTATGCAGCCTTTCTTCCTTATTCCTGTGTAACCAGCCAGCTAGTAGGAGATGCGAGAGCATATTTTTGTGGATGACCTGCTGCTCTTCCACACTGCCAGCATTCTTGGAATAAACGCTCATATATGGTTCCACCCTGACACTGCCTAATCAGTTCAAGTAGTGACAGGCAGCTGGGACCCATTGATTTTCAGGTTTCAGTTCCACCCTGCTCCAGCTTCCACTAACTCTTCGGCTCCCACACCTCACCCTCACTATATGTTTTGGACAAATCATTTAATTACCATCATTGCAGACTAAACACTGAAATTGTTCCCCAGAGCCAAAAGTGTACAGTTCTAAGTCTAGTGTTGGGTCCCCTCCATAATCATATCTCTCCCTGTGTCCCAGCTCTGGCACACCTTACTAGGTCTCCAAATCAACAAGAGCTGGGGCAGACATTTAGGTTAAAGTACAGAGATGTGGCTTTAGAAAAAGCAGGTAGAACAAAAAATAATAATAAAATGTAAGAGTATTTTATACCTGTTGTTCCCATGCCCTCACCTACAAATCAGAGTCAAAATAAATGTAAAATGGATGATCATGTCTATTTAACACTTGAAATGGAGTAGACCATTTATCTCTATTTCTCCCCACTGAAGACAATTAAAAACTCTGGATTCTATAAATAAAACAAACATGAACTCTCTGAAAGGTGGAGAAAAGGGCTATGGGAACAACATAGTGGTGAGTTCCCTGGGTTTTCTTTTTGCCTAATATATCCTAGACTGAATGCTGAGTAAGTTGCCAAACTATAAATGCCAACAGGAAAAGACAATAAAAGCCCCAAAGAAAATCCTGTTCTCTCTAGACAAAGGAACAGGACAGGGGCAGCCTAGCAAGATGGAAAACATTCAGACAATAACTGCTATACTCCAGCCAAACACCACGTAAAAATCTGTTACACCACACCCATCCCATCTCATGTGGGAAGCCTCGACTACCACCCTCTCCCCCGGCTGTGACAAGGTGCCCCTTCCTTCATCCCCTCTAGGATGGGGCCTAAGAAGGAGCCATAATTTTTATCTATGCCCCCCCAGGGTGTCAGTAAGGAAACAGTAATGAAGTGGCCCTCCCTCTCTCAGCCAGTTGGTGTCAGCAGAGGCCTAGTGGGGAACCTGAACTTCCTTCCCCACAAGCAGTAAATGTATTTCCTCCTACCCTCAGGTGTCAATGGAGGCAAAGTGGGAAACCTTGACTTCCACTCCCACTTGACAGCAAAAAGGTGGCATCTCCATTTCCCCACCAAAGAGTGTCAGGGAGTCCTGCTAAAACAGAAGATTTAATTAAGATCCAGAGTCACACAACATAATGCTCAAAATGTCGAGGATGCAATAATAAATAACCTGACATGCCTAGAACCAGGAAAATCTCAACTTGAATGATACCAACACCAATACGACAAAGATGTTGGAATTATCTAATGAGGATTGTAAAGCAGCCATCATAAAAAAAAAAAAAATGCTTCAATAAACAGTTATCAACATGATTGCAACAAATGAGAAAAAAATGTCTCAGCAAAGAAATATAAAGTCTAAGGAAATAAAATAGAAAACATAAAAAGAAACCAAATTAAAATGTTAGAATTGAAAATACAATAAATAAAATTTTAAATCACTGGAGAAGCTTCAAAGGTAGAATGAAAGAAATAGAGAAAAGAATCAGGGAACTTGATTAGAAAACAGAAAGGACAGTAGAAATTATCCACCTGAACAACAGAGCAAGAATAGACTATAAACCTCAAGAACTTGAGAGTATAGTAAAAGATTTAGTGTTTCATCAGAGTCTCAGAAGGAAAGGAGAAATGTGAGGCTAAACAAGAAATTGAAGAAATAAGTTGGCAGGGTGAAGAGCTTTGTTATGGTTGTGGGCTCACCAGCTCTGCGGGATTAGGAAGCTGAGGACACGTCCTCAGACACCGCGGTGTCTCATGCCTAGCCTCAGCCCGGCCGCTGCCCATGTTAGATTTCTGTGGCCTTTTAAATGATTGAATAATGATGGATATGGATCCGAAATAATAAATGACTTCTCTACTGAAGCAATAGAAGATTCTTCACATCACTTCCTGTAGCTCAATTTCAGTCTTCAGGAAAGGGCAAAACAAGTAAAATACAGAAAACTGAAGAAAAGAAAACCTCACTTTGGAACTGTCTTTCTCCTTGACTATCCTTAACCCCCATCTTTCTACTTGTTTTGATTTTGTTGTGAGTTTATAACTAGTGAAGAACAAAGAAATAGAAGATACATTTGGGAGCTTTATAAAATGCCAAGAGCAAAAGATAAAGAGAGAATCTTAAAAACAGCAAGAGAAAGAAACTCAGTTACCTACAAGGGAATACCCATATGACTGTCAGCTGATTTCTCCACAGAAACTTTGCAGGCCAGAAGGGAGTGGCAAGAAATATTCAAAGTGATGAATACCAAGAACCTACAACCAAGATTACTTTATCCAGCAAAGCTATCATTCAGAATTGAAGGTCAGATAAAGAGCTTCACAGATAAGGAAAAGCTAAAGGAGTTCATCACCACCAAACCAGGATTATATGAAATGCTGAAAGGTATCCTTTAAGAAGAGGAAGAGGAAGAGGAAGAAAAAGGTAAAGATACAAATTATGAACAACAAATATGCATCTATCAACAAGTGAATCTAAGAATCAAGTGAATAAATAATCTGATGAGCAGAATGAACTGTTGATTATAATAGAATCAGGGACATAGAAAGGGAATGGACTGACTATTCCTGGGGGGGGTAAGGGGTGTGGGAGATGCGGGAAGAGACTGGACAAAAATCGTGCACCTATGGATGAGGACAGTGGGTGGGGAGTGAGGGCGGAGGGTGGGGCGGGAACTGGGAGGAGGGGAGTTATGGGGGGGAAAAAAAGAGGAACAAATGTAATAATCTGAACAATAAAGATTTAATTAATAAATAAATAAATAAATAAATAAATAAATAAATAAATAAAAGACATATCAAAAAAAAAAAAAGAAATAGAAGATACATTTGGGAGCTTTATACCAAGAAATTTGCCTTGAAAGCTGCTATTCTTTGGAGGGAAAAGTATATCAAGTTCCTGTCTAATTTCTTTTAAAACAAGATTTCTTATATCTTTAGATTTTGAAGAATAAAACAAATATAAATACATATCTGCACATTTTTTTTAGCAGCTGTGTAAGAATAATGAGATTTGTAAATTAAGGGCTTTGTCACGTGGATGTTTTGCCACTGGAGCTGAATGCTCAGAAGATCTTTTATAGCTCTTTAATATTATATTTTTGATTATCACTTAGATGACATTATTTGCCCTTGCAAGTCCACCTGTCTTTCTAGTTATGCCCTTGTTATGAACAGTGTTTGTACTCACTGTGCAAATATCCATGTATTATCTATTTAAACAACACCATAGAGCCATCACTCAAGGAAGTTGAATGAGGTGAACATAGACGTAGGTCTTTCCCCTTCCCCCCATTTTTAAATGTAACAGATACTTTCTTTATCTTCCCCTTCTCCTTTCCCCCCCCTCCTCTTCCCTTTTGGAAACCGTGTCAGGAACTAGGCAGTTTAGATGAGCAATTGAGGGGACTGAGAGAGTGATCCACACAGAGCCTGGCTTCTTTGTGCTTCATCATAAGGTGTGCTGCTGGTCAGCCTTATTAAGCACCCTTCTAACGAGAACCTCGTGGGAAATCAGCTGGCAGACTCAGGGAGTTCAGGAAACAGGACCACAGAGGTTACACTCTGGGATCCTGGCCATGAGGTTGGATGCCTCACCTTGCTGAAAAGAGACACTGGGCCTCAGTGGCGCAGCATGACTTTGTTCCTGCTTGGCTACATTTTTCAACACCACAGGCAGTGAAGTCACCTACAGCCACCTTTGAAAAACACGGAGAGCACCTACCCCGAGGAGATGGTAGATTTGGAGTAAGCCGTCGTCCTCGACATAATTCCTCTGATGGCTTTTTTAACAGTGGACCTCTACGAACTACAGGAGATTCCTGGCACCAGCCCTCCCTGTTTCGCCATGATTCTGTGGACTCAAGTGTCTCTAAGGGAGCATATGCTGGAATCAACCGGAAACCTATCTGGTTGGCATGGCTCTTCCCATGGTCATGATGGCATGAGCCAGCGTAGTGGGGGTGGCGCAGGAAACCATCACCACTGGAATGGCAGCTTTCACTCCAGGACAGGCTGTGCCTTTCAGGAAAAGCCACCTGCAGAGATTAGGGAAGAAAAAAAAAGAAGACGAGGTGGAAAAGTTGCAGTTTGAAGAGGAAGACTTCCCTTCTTTGAATCCAGAAGCTGGCAAGCAGAATCAGCCATGCAGACCTATTGGGACCCCTTCTGGAGTGTGGGAAAAGCCATCTGGTGCCAAACAAACCTCCAAAATGCTAGTTATCAAAAAAGTTTCCAAAGAAGATCCTGCTGCTGCCTTCTCTGCTGCATTCACCTCACCAGGATCTCACTATGCAAATGGGAACAAATCATCCAA